GTTACAAATTTCCTCCTGACAAAAGTCATGTGAGAGAGTTGAGCCAGGGTATTATTAGAATTATATTTTTGTTTTGACTAATTTTAACTCCGAGTTAAAAGTATAAATTTTAAAACACCAATGGTAATTTTTTTAAAAAAATAGAATTATATTAAAAATAAAGTTAGAATTGGGAGTATCGATATGTACAGTTGCCTCACAAAGTTTAACACGGTTACACAAAAATTAATAAAAAGACATACCAAAAATTTATGCAAATCAACAATGTTAATACGTGTACGTATGCTTTTTTATAATTTTTGTTTTTTTATTATGCTTTTTTGTGTAACCGTGTTAAACTTTGTGAGGCAACTGTACGTACGTACGTACGATGAAAGAATTTAAAAACCACGATTACTATTTATAAAGCACATATAAGTCCTAAATATTGTTTAGCTTTCTACCTGGTATGAAATCAGGCCGGGTAAAATCGCCACCAAAAAAAATTTTCAAACTCATGTTATACGTTGTTTTGGAATTCATGTTAGTTCAGAAGTGATATAAGTCATTTGGAATCGTAATTTGACACATGTTACGTACATCATGATCGGTATATCATTAATGATTATGATAGCGAAAAACAAAACAATTAAGCAATTTTTTTAGTATTTATTCAATACTCGGACACAATATCTAATACAAAGCACATTATTTTTACGAAATAAATAGTGCCTAGTTTTATAGTTTGTCCTAATAACTTTTATGTTGGAATTTCTTGCCTTTTGCTTGTACAATTACTTGTTGAATTACTTTAGTGGTCGCGTCAATGCTGTAGCATTTCTTAGAGATAAAGTGTCAAGTAAAATAATATCAAGTGCTGGATATTGGTTGGTGCCTAGTGATTTCAATTAGTTGGATACAGTAATCTAAGATTTCAACTTTATAGAAACTATGTAAAACTGTTTGGGATGAGCCTTCAATTGACGAATAACTTATTTGAGAACAAATTTGTGTACAAAGATTCTAATTTACATTTTTAAAATTTATCTTCAGTGTTTTCGATTTTAATTTACTGCCACCTAGAAAACCACATATTTAAACTTTAGATTTTTATGTGTACTCGGAGGGTTTCATAAGAACATCAAGTAATGATAATTTCATTTTTTTCGACTACTTATTATTATATAGTCGTTAACTATGTCTCGATAGTTTAAGATGCAAGGAATAAAAAACTAATGAACAGTTTGATGTATTAAATAAAGTAAATACAGTAAATAAAAAATTATCGAAATCAAAAAATTAGATAAAGTTAATTTTTAAAATCACCCGGATGATAATTTACTTACAGCTGTTTTCATAAATTCTGAGACACCTGATAAAAAATTAGCCGAATGATTTTTTGGCCGATTCGGTTATGATATTGATTTCGGTATACAAAAATAATGTAAGGTTAATTTTTAAATAGCAGAATCGATTTCTTATAATTTTGGTCAAATTTGCAGAATATTTGGACAGATTCAGAATTAAAAAAAAATTGAACTTGGCCAAACGAGCGGCAAATTTGACCAAAGTTATAAGCAATCAGCCCTGATGATAAACATAGCGGGCATTCATTGTTGTGATTGGCCAATTTTTGTAGATCATCCCATGATATAGTAAAATTTTATTGGTTAATCGAAATTAATCGAAATTCTAAATTTTAATTAAATCATCACGAATATAAAAAACTGATATGTATAAAAATAACTATATTTATAATGAAATTAATACCAGCAGAAGTCTTTATCGTGAAATCTCAATAACTTTAAATCTAAAACTACATAATCTTGTCGCAGACAAATTCCGACAAACCAAAATTTATTTCATAACAATCACAAATCCAAAAAGAAAAAAAAACGAACCAAAAACGAAAAATACATAAAATAAATGTTTAAGAACACTAATGGCTAATAAAAAATCATTATAAACATTTAATGCTCGCTCCAATATCAAACTGATCTTTAATTTTGTTTAATAATCGTAATACCACTACTTCGTTTTAACTCTTCTCACGAAATCTATAAACCTTATGACTCACAACTTCATATTTTTAGCCTACATTATAATCAGATTTCTATATTAGTTGAGATTATGAAGAATAAGTTTACAAAATACGTAAAAGACAGCTTAAATTGTCGAGTTTAATTGATTTATTGTACCTAAAAGTTAAACGTTCAAACATGCCTCATCTGATTTCTGAATTACTTCGCGGATTACCGAATTACTTTGACAGTTTATAAAACAAGGTATATATTTTTTTGTTGTAACAGCGAAACGTTAAAGAACATATCGTGTAACATTTCGGGACGCGCGTGGGCGTTATTTCAAGACTAACTATACTATTTTCGAATTTGCGTTATAATATTTTGCATACTTAATGTATAGATCCAAAGTCAGTTTAAAGACTGTTTTTATGATAATTCTGCAATAATTTTAAACGCAAAATTTTTTTGTAAATGTATGGTTTCGCCATTCTTTTTACTATGTTTAAAAACCTAAGACATTATAAAATTTGACATATATATGTATAGAGGAAAAAATTAACTAATATTTTCAAGAAATAATTATCAGCAATTGGAAGGCACAGAATATAACGAACGACAAGAGTGAAAGAAAATGATAATAATAATAAAGAAATGAGATGGCGCAATTATATGTGTATCTATGTCATTGCTCTTTTCTCTTTTTGTAGCAGAAAAGGTTCTGAAACCCCTTAATATTGATAAAATATTAGTATTTTCGATATATTTCACCTCTTTACAGTTATACTAATTTCCAATCAGTTACGATCTCTTCTATCCTAAAGTGATCTTATTGATTTTACCCACCTTTTTATCAGATTAAAGCGAAAGTATAAAAATATTGAGAAGAAACTACACGCATTTAACGTACATTAATGGATGATCATTATGACTGAAGTTCAGAAGATGTGCAAGTATCAGTTACAAGTATCTTAATTTGAAAAATTGCAATTGCTTTTCTACGGATATAACAAATAAGGAACCATTAATCTTTGAAAATCAAGAATTGTGTCATGATTCATACATACTGTTATTTTCATTTTTCTTTATCATTCACATCACCATGGTATTCAATATAAATGCGTTTACCATACCCTATATTAAGAATCATTCAAGATGAGAAATATCAAAGATCCAAAGAGAGCTTATAATAAATAAATAATAACTAATTAATTACCAGGTATGGTGACCACTAAATATTTTATGACCCAATCTCCTTGATCATCCTAAATTTTTGACGAAGAATGTTTAAAAACATAATTGACTTAACGTGTGGGTAGATTATCTTTTCAACAAATCAACCTTAACCATATCCAGCAACGCATTTCCATTAGTCAAGGGGCCTTCAACATAAAAGTGCATTATTCGATGTGGTGTACCATCCGTGTTTATCACGTCTCGAAGACTTAATATTGTAGTAGAGTCGAAGACAGGTTAATGGTGACCGTTAATGAGAATCAAATATTCAAATATGTAAGGAAATAACACTTACCGGGCTCTAGGATTACGTAATCTGGAATTTGGAACTGGAATCCCATGTCCTTTTATTGGAGTGCCTAACATCTTCTGACACTAAATTTGATAATTAATAGGTTTGAGAACATTCATACTAAATATTCAAACATTAAATGTACAGTATATATTAATCAGTTAAACCCAACATACTTCCTGATTGTTTCTAATTTTTTCCAATGATTCATTAAAAACTTTAGTAGAGCTTTTTGGGCCAAATAGTTCCGATATAATGTAATATAATAGTACACCTTATTTTAGAGAACAAGTCATTTAGTCAAAAGTATATATATACTGTATATTTAAGAAAAAAATAATGGTACAGTATATATGAAATTTTTATAAAATTACAAACCAAGAACACCAACTCCTATCACAATTACACTAATATTTGTCGTTGTCTTAGCAACTTTTGCAGCTAATTTGTTTTTCATATTAATAGTAAACTCCACAAAATAATAAATATAAAAAATATTTTTATACCTTTTTGTCCGGCTGATAAATCACCCCATTCTTTAACTTTTTCTCGTTCAATTATATCATTTTTTGAACGTTTCGCTTTTCTGAGATTTGAATTATTAGTTTGATATCGACGTTTACCATCTAAAGGAAGTTTATTAAAAGAGTTTAAGGCTTGATATGAATTATTGCGTTTATTCAACAGAGAATTTGTAGTGTGACAACGAACGGGTATAATGTCAAGCTGCTTTAAAATTGGAATGGACGCAGCAAGATTGAGTTTGCGTTTGAAAAGTAAGGTATTTAATGGAGAATTCACAAAACGTGCACTCTGATGCAAAATTGTAGACATCATTTTTGACTCAAAAGATAATCTATCGTTAAGCATATATCATTGATCTCAGTGATCGACATAATTTAACCAAAAAAAGTTCTGGACTCAACCATATAGGATAACTTTCTCGTGATTGGTCGTCACATGAAATTGAATAACACGTTATTATTGGCCAATTGTGAAA